ACCCAGCTGACCCCACACTTGGAAATGAGGACTGCAACATAGGAAGCAGGGGTGAGATGTATTCAAACCACAGGGCCCCAGAAGCAAGGCAGGGTTATTTTTGTTATTTTTCAACACACGCGCGCGCACACACACACACACACACACACACACACAATTTTTCTTGCAAACCAACCAAACAGCCTCCTACCACCTACAAAACATGCTGAGTTTTAGGAGCCCAAAGGCAGAGCCGGTCCACGAGAACCTCTACCCCTGGGATCCTTCCTCCTGGCCCAGCCCTAATCAAGTCTGATGGCTTTCAGATCGCCCGGTAAATAGGTCAAATTTTATTCTTAGTCATTCACTAGGAACTATATCGGAATGCAAAGTGTGATGCATGTGAATAAGTTCAATATTTAGCCCCTTCAGGCTAGCTAAGTGGCACAAGGAATATCAGAAATGGCTTTGACTAGAAAGTTTAGTCTGAGTTACATGATTTGTCTGAGACCAGCAATGCAGTGACAGATCCCGGCTAGAGTAATCAAGGGGTATTAAAGCCCTGGGGACAGTGGTGGATAGCAAGGTACTTACCGGTCCCAAATGATCACCGCATAGGTTGCCTTTTAATTACAAAGAAATGTCTAACAGTAATGCAATATGGCAGGCAACAGTCTAGTGAAATCAACACAGTAATGCCACTGGGAATGGGACACATTGTCTCCTGGGTGAAAAGGATGCAATGTCTCATAAAGGGCGTTATTAACCCAACTGAGGAATTTTTATTTGAATATATATTGTAGAGTAGATAACGTAACGGTGTGAAATTTCCTTAACATATAGCTACGGCTGTATAAGAGAAAATTCTAGTTCTCAGCAGATTGTATCAAAGATACCATAATGTCCCAACTTACTGTCAAGTACTGGGGAAGTATATATGTTCATCAACAGATGAATGGACAAAGAAAACATAATATATATATACAAGAAGTGATTAAATATATGGTGAATTTTGAATTTTTATAGTAAAAGCCACATAAAATACTCCTCTCCCTTCCAACACACTTATCCCATCTTTCATGACACCTTGTGAAGTAGATAAAAAATACAGTGAGCAAATACTGGTGCTGAGGCCATCCAAAGGAAGGGCGGCCTCATAAACATGTTACAATGCATCCTCACCCACCTAGCTTACCAGACCTGCCCTGAGTGACTTCCGGCTCTTCCCCAAAGTCACAGTGACCACGGAAGTTCAACATTTTGAATCAATTCGTCGAAGCAACCATGATGGTGCCACAGTGGCAAGGATGGGATGAGCGTGTTCAAAGTGAGGGGAGGACTTCAAGGGGACTCATGGCAACGTGTCTTCCATTGTAAATGATTTTTAAATTTAAACAGTAACCACACACAGCAACCTTTAAAAGGCGAAACTGTCACATGCTACAATATGGAGGAACCTTGAAGACATTGTGCTTAGGAAGTAGAACAAGCCATTTGCAAAGATAAATATTGCATGATTTCATTCACATGAAGGATCTAGAGTGGTCAGAATCACAGGAACAGAGAGGAGGCAGTTGCCACAGCTGGAGAAAAGGGACAGGAAACATTAATGTTTAACGGGCTTGGAGCTTCAGTTCTGCAAAATAAAGAATTAATTTCTGGAGCTCTGTTGCACAGTACCACGAATATACTTAACACTATTGATCTGCACACTTAAAAATGATTAAAATAGTAAATGTATGTTTACAACCATAATTTTAAAAATAAAATTTGCCAGTGCATATGTGTACATGTTTATAAGATACATGTAGTATGTCTATAAATATATTCCTTATTGGGAAAAAATAGGCAAAGCAAATAAAGGAAAATGTTAATAATGCTAATAATAAATATAGTAAATGTTAATAATTGTGAATCTAGGTGTTTTTATATTACTTTTTGAAAAACTGGGACAATGGGGATTTTTGACACTTAGGGTCATGTGTCAAGGCCCATGGCCAATCTATGATCACAGCATGTTTTAGACTAAGGCAACAACCCTGCGGGGAGAGGGGAAGGGGAGAGGGCCACGGGGCGCTACACTGGAGGACCTGCCCATCCTCCTGCAGGCATGCACCTGCTCTGCGCAAGACTTCCGTGCCAGTGCCGGCCAGCGCACCTGGCCCTGGAGCCCCTTCCACTCTCGGCAGCTGTCCGGGCCTCGAGGAGAGAGGGCTATTCATCCAAAGCTTGCTGGGATCCACACCCCACCAGGAGGCTGCGTAGGCAGGGAGGTGCAGGGCCCACCAGCACCTGCTTCTAACACCAGACGCTAGAAATAACCCACGCTCACCAGGCGTCCTGCGCAACTGTGGAATGTGTGAGCCTCAGAGCTCAGGGAAGCATCGGTGATGCCATTCAGGGACAGCAAGCTACGGAGCCACGGGCCTTGTGTGGAGGAGGAAGGCAGGAGGGGAGGAAAAGGAAGAGGAAGGTAAGGAAAGGAAAGGAAAGCCCGCTCTCTGGAGATCTGCATGTGCATATTTACAGTGTGCATATATACACACACATAAAAATCTGAAAATACGAGGCATCAAACTGCAGTCATTTAGATTGTATTTGAAGGTAAGAGTGAGGTTTTCAATTTGTACACTGTTTCCTTGTAGAGTGTACAAACTGTCCAAACTGGCCTATTATAATCTGAAAATTTTCCTGAAGAAAAATGAAAGCAATGAACTCTTTAGGGAGGGGGCTCCCTGGAGGGAAAGGGGCTGCAGCTGCTACCACTTGAAACAATTTAAGCAAAGACAACTGTTGGGCCTCGTGGGGGCTGCCCCCACTTGGGTTATTAAAGCTATGTTGGAACACAGCTGCCCCATTGTGCAAGAAACTGCCCTGCTCTGTAGTTGTGACAGAGGGCACAAAGTCAAAAATGTTTATTATGAAATTACCAGTCCCTGCTCGAGATTCTTACTGCCTCCAAAATAGGAGCTGTACAGTCCACATTAGACCACTGACCCACAGCATCAAACTTGGAGAGGTAGGGAAAAAGGACAATTTTTAATTTATTTTATGAAATCTGAAAGTTTAAATCAGTAGATGCTACCTCACCACAAAAACTGTCCTTGTTTACCCCACCTCAGCAGCCCGGAACTCAATCCTGTCCATTACTCTTCATTGATTTTCTTCCCAGAATTTATCACCCTCCACCATTTATCATTCTCCTTGCCTCTCCCATCATAGCGTAGGAACTCGAGCACAGGAATCTTCCCAGCCTTGTTTATTCCGATACCCCAGGGCCAAGAACACTGTCAGAGTGAGAGCACTGCCTAATACTGGGTGGGAGGCTGGGTGGACTGGTGGATGAGCAAGTGGAATGATTTGCAATTCTCTGGCAAACTTTTATATTAGGGTGAGGAAAAGAAAGATGTGGTCAGGGCCGGGGATTTAGCTCAGTGGTTAAGCCGCCTGCCTCGCAAGCACAAGGACCCGAGTTCAATCCCGGGTACCAAAAAAAAAAAGAAAGATGTGGTCAATAGCAACAGGAAGCAGACACTAAGGGCAAAAGGAAAAGAGCAGGAAAAAAAAAGAGTAGCCAATCCATAAACATATTTTGGAGCTACAAACTAAAATGCTTTGTGCTTGTGCACATGTGACTCTATTTTTCAGTTGAATTCAATACTAATATGGAGAAAAGTGCCTGCCCAGGAGAATAGACACCGACAAAATGCAATACCTTCAGTCACGGGGTAGGAATCCTGTATTAGGATTTGCTGGTCTAAGGCAGGTCCCGGGGATCTTTGCCTGTAGGGGAAAGTGGAAGGCCAGGGACTTTCACCTTTTCAGGGCTCAGGGGCAATCTGACTCAGACAAGAAAGGAAGTGGCAGAAGTCCAAACTGGAAACCCTTCCTATCTCTTGGCCTTTTGAATGACAAAGCTACTAGGTGGGACCCAACAAGGCCCGAGACCTTCCCTTAGACAAAACCAGCACCCAAGGAAGGCCGATAAACTAGGAGGTGGTGCCCTAGAGGACCAGGTGCCCCAGGAGAGATTCCACACAGGTTCTTTTCCTTGTCTCCAGTCATCCCGCTGAGGGCAGAGTGAGTCCTCAGATGCATGAGGGTTCGGGGGTACCACACCCCACTCCTGAGTCCCTTCTGAAGGGAGTAGAGCCTCAGGATCGCCCCTCTTTTGCCAGGCAGAGGAATAGACTGGAAGAAGACCTTGAAAGAGATTAGAACATTTTGCTTAAGAACACAGAGAAAAGAGATAAAGGAGCTGTGAGGCCTTTCCCCTTGGGGAAGAGAGCATAGAGGTCTCGTGGGAATTTTTAGTAGGTTTTGCCACAGATCAAAACTATCTCCACGGGGTACATGGAGCTATTTAGTCTCCCCAAGGAGTGTTCAGTAAAATCGTCGTTACTCATTAAACTTTCGTTGCATTAGATTTGCTTTTTGGGAATGACAGCAAAGTTCCTGCCTCAAGGTGGGTGGAGGCCAAGAACAGATTCCTCATGGTGCCCGTGACATCTGAGATACAAGAATAGCCTATTGTGTTCTACAGCCTGGCGTTCTTATCTCTCTGCCTTGACCGAAATGCAGAAAAATGTGCAACCTGGAAATACAGAGACCCATTCACTTTTGTAGGTGAAACCTAAAAACCTTGTACTGTTGTAGAAACAAATTAACTCCCAGTTGGCTTGCAGATAGGGAAGGAAGACAACAACCCATTGAAAGGTAAATTAATCCTTTGTATAAATAAGCAAACTCGAATACCAAAGCTAGAGGGAACTCACACAATCATTTAAAATTTCTCCAAACTCCCCACAATATGCCCATTCTCTCCAGTGAACAAGCCAATTGTTTGTCTAAAGCTTTCTGCACACATAACCCCAGAATTCTGCATTTTCATTAACCTTTTCCCGTGGATCCGTCCTCAGGCAGACACCTGATTAGTTTCCACTTTGATGAGAAAACAGGAAAGTCAGACACTCAAATTTATAGTTTACAATCTTAAGCGAGTCCAATTCAAAGATTCTTACCTTTTTTCATCTCCAGGTCTCTGCTTTTTCCTGTGGCGACAGCATCTCTCGGCTATGGCTTCCCACGGGTAATATGGTATTTATAACCACCTTCATTACTGACTCGGACCGCCAGGAAATAAAATGTACAGATGTACCTTCTCCCACAGCGCCTGTCACAAAAATTAATACACAGGTTTACCTTTTCCCTCGTTCCCTAATCTTTGTTTCCATTTAAATTTAGTGGCCTGTTTCAGAGATTCCTCTAAATTGACATCGGCCCTTTGCCAGTATTTGCTCCAAGCTTTCAGTAACCACCACCTCCTCCCTCAGCTGGGTCCTTATTATTTCCTTTCTGACTGTGATTAGGGTTGAGGGGGCGGAGGAGGAGGTTGGTAAAGTCACCCAAAATGTGATCAAAACAGTTTAAATTTTTAAAAATCATTATAGTACGACACACTGCCACTGATCCCTCAGAACACTCCCCACCACTGTCGCTACTTTCTGAAGCAGCTCTGGAGTCCTCCTTCGTGAGCGTCTTTAGCTGCACTGTCCTGGCTGCCTCTATCTTCTGAATTGAATCAAAACATTTCCCTCGTGTGGTCTTTCGATCTGGGGGAAGAGCCAGAAGGCACACAGTGCCGGACCCAGGGAATGAGGTCATGGAGACGCAGCGTGATGTCTACACAAGCTTTGTGTTTGTTGGACGGCGCCCCACCATGGCATCCAATCAGATCTTGTAAAGATACTCGTGAAAGAGGACTCCCAAAACTGCGTCAGACAGTGGTAAGGATGATGGAATAAATGTGTCCGAAGTGAGGGGTGAACGACAATGTGTCTTTGGTATAAATCTTTTTTATTTAAACAACTACCACGTTTTGATTGCCCCTTGTATGTGACTGAAAACAACTCAGACATACAAACAAGGGCACAAGGTGAGCACCTCCCCACACTTCCTGGCCCGGAATAACCTTGTTAGCTCGTGGGCATGCGTCTCCCAGCCACCTGTACCCACAGATACATAAACACCGGCGAACAAGCCCTGTGGCCCCACAGCTCACCAGGATTCGTAAACTCCATACCAGCAGAGCAACGGCTTTTATTGGGAACAGGTGAAAAAGACAGGCTAGATAGCTACTGAAATAGGAATGGAGCAGGGGGAACCGAAAGCTAGGTACCAGTGGGCCTTTATTCCCTGCTGCTTTTATAGGGGGTCAAGGACCCCTCCCCCTGCCCGGAACTTGCCAGAACCCAACTGGCTTCCGGGTCCTCTGCCTGTCTCATCTCTTCCAGTGGTCGATGTGCAGCTTCTGTCTGCCGGCCTGTTTGTCCGCGATTACTTTTCAGAGACTTATCTTTGGGGTGGGTGGCGGGTTGGCAAGGGGGTGCCTTATTCGTGGTGAGCTTAAGATTAGTAAGGAGGCGCATGGACATCCACTGTAGTAATGCAGAGCGGCTCTGCAGCAAATACCTATGTATATGATATATGTTAGTGCACAGGTGTGAGTACACACTCACATAGGAGCTTCTCCCAAAGTTGGTCCACCCCCTCCCCAATGTCTGCCCTGTACTGTATTGGAGGGGGAGACGGAGGCTAGCTCAGGTTTTTGCATTTGGCTCTCTCTTCGTCCTGCTGGTCAGCCCCCCCACACACACCTTTCTCTCCTCTTGATGCAAGTCCCAAGACCATTTGGTGCCTTTCTTTTTATCTAGCTTTTCTCTTTCTCTGCCCTTGTCCTTGATCTATGTCCCAAGGGAATTTCCCTAGTAAATTTTTCACTCCTTCTAGCCAGGACTGGCCAGAAACCTAATGAGGCCCTTCCTCTACCCCTTTCCCTGTTCACAGACCTTCCACCGATGCAGACACATGCATACACACACAGGATCCTGTTGGATTTGTGTTGTGCGATCCGATATTCTTTCCAGCTTCTCTGCATATTCATTTATTCCTCACATATTTAATGAGCACCTACTCTAGGCCAAAGTACTCCGGGACCTAAGAAAACACCAGGGACCACAACGGTAACGCTGTCCTCATGGAGTCTGTGCAGAAGGCGAGGAAGGAAAGTAAGGGCACAGTACTCCAAACGGTGATACGTGCTGCTGAACATGTGGGGTAGACACTGGAATACTAGCACTGAAGGAAGGTCATACGCCAAGTGCGGTGGCACATGTCTGCAATCCCAGCACTCGGGAGGCTGAGGCAGGAGGATTGCCACGAGTTCAAGGCCAGCCTGAACTACACAGTGAGACCCTGTCTCAAAAGATCAAATAAATAAATAAAATCAGAAATTGTCTCTTTAGTAACAAGATAATTGAACAGAAAGGTGAGACTCAGGTCACACAGGGAAGGTGGAGCAGCTGGAGAAACTGGGCCAAAGGGAAACGCAAGAAAGCACACAGAGGGCAAGGGCCCCCAGCAGCTCGGGTGGAGCCCAAGGACCTCTCTTCCCTCCCCATCACTGTACCACCTGTCCAGAGCATTCTAGAATTACCCACACCGCATCTGAGTGCACCACTTGGCTGGAGACCCTTCAAGGCTCCGACGTAAGTTGCAGCTCTCAGCTCTGGCTGAACATCACAAGCACCAGGGAGCTTTTTCAAAAAACACCTGCATTTGGGGCAGAGCTCACAGAGATTCTGCCCACCTTGGCCTACGAGGGACCAGGGCACCCATACTTCCTAACTCTCCAGGTGATTACAACAGGCAAATGAGACACTGTCAGAGATACAGAACACAGACAGATGTGCATTTTCTTGTGGATGTTACCAAAACTGATGAGGAAGCCAGTCTCCTCCAGTTACCTAGCAATGTCCAGAGGGTTGGATTCTCCATTGCTCCCTCTGCGCCTCTTTCAGTCTCATGCACGGAAACCAAAGAATCACCAGACCATTTCCCCTGCCCTAGATTCAGAGCATTTTAACCTGGCCTCGACTTCTCCCACTCGATGCCACGCAGTCTCTCACCTAAGTCTCCGCTGGGACTTGCTGACTCCAAATGTTATCTTGCTAAAGAAACAAGCCTAATAACATCCAAAAATGCTTATTTTTCTAAATGACCAAACTGATACAAGCTTATGTCACCCCAAAACATAGGGGAATTGTTGTAACATCGCTAGAATCACCAGGTCATTTGTGTCCTTCCAGTTACATCATGGCCCACTGGTGCAGAAAAGCCCAGCAGTGTGTCCTAACCTTGTCAAATACACTGGAGCGATCTCAGAGGCATGTAGAAATTCACAAATCTTAGTTTCACCCTTACTATATTCCTTGTTCCTGTCACCCTGATAACTTCCTTCCAAACAACACCAGAGCACTGTCTTGGACCCATTAGTCACACCACGGTTCCTTACACAGACCTAGGGCTGCTGCCCCCATAGACACAGGAATGGAGCCCACACGGAATTTACCTGGCATCTTTACTATCTCACAAACTGAGTAAAGGTGACATGAAAAGAATAGCAAGTACCTAGTCCTACGACTCAAGGAGAGCTTGGATTCACCATGAAAAACCTTCCCCAGAGAAAACAACTGACAGAAGATTTCACCAATGAGAATTCTGAAAAGAATAACAACATTATCTAGTCCTGTGACTCAAGGAGAGCTTGGATTGACCATGAAAAACCTTCCCCAGAGAAAACAACTGACACAGAAGATTTCACCAATGAGAATTCTCAAATAGTTAAAGAAACAATAAAATGGACCATTTCCCCATTCTATGATGAGACCATCGTATCTTGAAGCCACAATATAAAAGTATGTGTAGGAGGGAAATGTTAGGTCTCTCTCTCTCTCCCTTGAAGAGATCTAAAGAAATTTAAGCAAAATAGTTGACTCAACTCTCCCATTTGGTCTGAAAGGGTCACAGATGCAGACCGAGTTGAAGAATTGGGGACAATAATTCATCTACTGTGGGTTCTTGTGGTTTTACCTGAAAGGTAATCTTTCACGCCCAAGATGCCACCAAGGAAGAGGGAAGGGACGCTGCCTATGTAGGTTGAGGAGGTAAGAAGGCGGCGATGCAGGCAGTTCGCGTGTCGCCCTGTTCTGTTGTTTGGTAAAATCTCAGGCGGCGCACGCCCGCGTACAGGAGAATGTGACAGCGCAGGGAATGCGGAGGAGGACGAGTGTGGGTCCCTGCGTGGTGCCCTGGAGCGCACACCAGGCCCGGCCCGGCCCTCCAGCGAGGCGCGGGGCCCAGCATGG